TATATTCAAATCCAAAATAGAGATATTGCTGTCATCTACGTCCCATAAACCGTTGAAGAAGAAAATAACTACAAAACGCACACACAAAAATGTACATCTACCAACACGTATTCTGTAGTGTATAGCAAACCAGCGTCGTTTTCAAAATTTGATTCAAAATAACCACCCTATGGGGTCCAAAGGTACCCAAAACGATTAAATAGCCTCGTAAATATGAAAATAGAGATGATGCCGTCATCTACCTTTCTTTCAAAACCCGCCGTTACAAGAATATTACGAAAATCAAAATGTACACGAACAAAAATGTACACGAACTCACACGCATTTTGTCGTGTTAGCAAACCATCGTCGTTGCACATTTTTTAAAATATGTGTTTATTATTATTTTTTATAACTGGCGTAGTTTTGTGCACTAGAACTATGATATTAAGCGTTGAGTGGTCAAATGCTTCTACCCGTTATGAGGACGTATTCTATGAAAAAAGATATATTTCTGAGATTTGTTAAAAACAACCAACCTATGGTGCCCAGGAAAATCTCGAAAACGATTGAATAATGAATATAAAATAGAGATGGTACCGTCATGCCGTGAACTACCTCCAATGAACCGTGGCAACGAGAAAATTACAAAAGCAGACAATAAAATGTGATGAAATGAATATAAAATATAGAGATGGTGCCGTCATCTACGTAGCAACCGTAGCAACAAGAAAATTATTAGGATCAAACAAGAAAAATGTACACCTACTTACACGTATTCTGTCGTGCTACCAGCGTCGTGGCACATTTTTAGAAATATGGGTTAAAACAACCAATTCATGAAGCCCAATATAAGCTCAAAGCAATTAACTAGCCTCATAAGTATAAGAAAATAGAGAACCTAAAAAAAGTAGCATTAAGAAAATTACATGAAGCAGACAACAAAGCAGTACACCAACCTGCACGCGTGTTGTCTTTTCCATCTTTCGAAGGTATTCAATGTAAGATAAAGAACTTCGTCATTAAGATTCGGCCTCAATTGACCAATAGCACGTCGCCACATCATAAAGGGGTCACCATCAGTCGGAGATGGTTTGTCCAACATCTGGTATTGCTTCAATACTCCACTTTGGTTAGCGATTCCTGAAAAGATTATGGACGAATTTATTCTGAACGCGATTGTTTGTTAGAATCCCCCCCTGGTGGGTCAAAAAAGGGCTCATTGGGGGCCGCGGTACAATAATTTTTGCGGAATATTCTAGAATATTTGAACGCGGTGGATAGTTACAAAAGTGTTGGGTCTAAATATTTTGACATAGAACGGTGGTTTTAGATCAGGGTTACGCGCGGCACTTCAGGGTGTCTCCAGTACAGTCCGCATGTTTCATTCAAATCTGAGAGTCTATATCAGGGTGGTCCTGACCCAGGCCCGCGGGCCACATGTGGCCCGCCACTCCATTATCTGTAGCCCATGTCGCATTCGGAGACGAATCAAAAAATTGCATTTTGTGTTGTTTCGTCATAAAATTAACCAAAACATATTTTGACATATTGTTGTATCATTAATGTCACTAAATTGACTAGTGTTATGGCTTGCTGAGGCAACTAGCGAAGTCAAACGAGCAAAGTTCTTGGCACTATTGTGGCCCGCGAACAATGCAAAAGTATTTTTGTGGCCCGGGGAGCTGCCAATCTTGGACCACCCTGGTCTATATTATTATATGTATAGTGTTTAAATATTGTGAGATACCGATTAGATTTTCCACTATTATTAAACTTGCTATACTTTAAAGATCATTTTGTTTTCCTGTATCATGTTAGCCTGGTGACCGTACATTTGAACCCATGTACATTTGAACCCATGCGTATATCCACGGGTTCAATCTATATGCGGGTGCTAAAACCCATGGGTTAGGGTTAGTATGAGTTTAACTATCCGTGAAACAAAAAATATTCCATAGGTGCAATAGCATACAGGTGCAATTGTCATGGGTTCAAATGTACGTGGGTTCAAATGTAATGGAACCTGTTAGCCTATATATATTTAGAGTTCAGTTAATTCAGTACAATAAAAACAATTGAACTATTGCACAGGGGTTCCGATCCATCGAAAAAGTTGAAACCACTGATGTCGAAAGTTGAGAATCTTAATTGCCTCATGCAAATGGGGTGTGATAAATTCTGTAGGCATTGGCGAATAGGAAAGATCACCTGTAAGCATTTTATCTTGGCCTGCGTATTAAAACATGTTAAATACCACTGTGAGAAAAAACTTTGTGAGAATATCAAATTGAAAAATAGTGGAATTTGCGATTCGCGTAAATGGTTCTTTCACAAATTGAACTATGGTACGTAAAAATTAATATAAACTGTGCGTGAGGGGTGTAATTCGTGTGGAAAAATTTAGAGTTTAATTCGTGTATATATTGGATATTTGCGTAAATTGTAATTCGCGCAAATGGTTTGCCTACAATACCTTCAATCCTATAACAATTTACCTATAACTCTTGCAGCTGGCCTTGCAACACATACTCGAAGATATCGAAGAGGCACCAAGCGCCGTAACTCAAGGGAAATTCCTCCAGGAACGACAGCATCTCTTTCCACTTGGTAAAGTCTGTACAGTCGCGCCATAATGAGCCAGTTCTTAGTAATGGCGAGAGTGCGCACATCTCGGAGAGCAACTTTTCGTCTAAAACAAAATGGTACACCTTGAAAAATAAAATAGAGTGACGCCAACGCTAGCTCTCAATCTAATGCACTGATTTAGATCTGAACTCAAAAATACAAACGCCGAAAATGTTTTTTGTGAAAAATCCTCCAAGAAGGTTTAATTTCGAGTTTCTGGCTTGAAAATAAAAATTTACTGATTACGAACCAGGGCGGATCAACAAAAACAAAATTAGCATCTTCGGGTATAGGGTGACACTGACGCAAAATATAAATTTGGCGCACTTCATAGGATGTGACTATTCAAATGCAAAAACTTAGTTGCATTTGTATTAAATTAATTACATTATTCAAAAAATATTGTAGCGAATTAAAAACCAAATATTGGTTGTAGGTTCGTTAATATTTTATAATGGAAAAGGCTTATGTAAGTACGGACCGATTATACACCTCACGAAACGAGCTTGCCTAAAACCCGCATTCCGTAAAAAATTGTTGCCAAGAGAGTACAGACCTTTTCTTTGCAAGCTTGTCTTCGTAATACGTTTGGCATGCAGTATCAGGTCCTGGCTTGAATGGTATAAAGTCGCCTTCAGCTAATACTTTCCATTTTTTGAACAATGAATATTCACCAAATGAGAGAAGACACTGAAATGAAGACTTATTTAATGAGCTCGTAAGCTTTTATTTTATTTTTGAATTAGTGCAGAGCAAGGCGGTTGAATTACACGATATTTGGTAATTTATAACTGAACATTAATTTTTATATTTTCTATTGTTTCACCTGAACTTTGTTTTTTGCAGGAGCAACATCCAATTCATAACTTAATTTATTCTCGAGTGATTTCCGAACCTCAAGATCTTGTTCTTCGTCGACCTGAGGAAGACGAACCAGCTCATCGAGAGGGTTCCGTTGCTGCCTGAAAATAGATTCAGTGGTTATCAAATTGACAGGATCTGTGGCCTCTATCCAAAGACTCTTACCGCCCTGTGGCCATGCTCTTCAATAAAAATAAATTTTGTTTTGGCGGGTCCCATCAATTATTTCATGCGCCACTCTTAATAATAAAAAGTCAGCAAACGAAGGCAAAAGAATCATGGGTCACATACAAAAAATTAACAAATCGCAAGTAATATAATTTACCGTAAAGTCATGTCGACATCACAAATGTAGCTATAGAAAACTACCCCTGAGAACCGCTCGGTGGTCCCCTAATTAGAATAGCCGATGGGCAAATTTTAGAAACCCTGGATAAGATATTATGAACTGCACCATGATACAAAAATTGACAACAGGACAAACACACAGAACGGAAGTTGTAACAACTTCAAATGATGTTCGAACACGTGCCTTGAAAATGCAAACTTCTTGGAAAACCTCATTACGGCATAGAATAAAAGTGAAAAGGAATATATAAGAAATACTCGATGGTCGGGCTTCATGTTTGGGAGCATTGAAATAATATATAAATTGAAAAAACTCGATGAAATGCTCTCCGATCAACAATTAAGCATGTGAGAATTGTGAGTATTCACACCAGTGATTTGCGTGCAGGAAAAATGGAAATACAAACAATATATGGTAAACATGCACACACAATAACAGATATATTCTGCTGGATTTAAAAATAAAACGCTTACTTTTCATAATCGCCTCTTAGCCAGGCGCTGACTTTTTCTTTTGAACCCTGTTTCCGAGTATCCGGAGGTCCAAATACCGAAGAGTTTGAGGAATTCGAAGTTAATTCTAAAGCTGCCTGCAGTCCTGCTTCCGTATTTCGCCGTTCTAATGCAGCAAAAGACATCAGCCTAAGTCTATTCTAGTATTTTAGTTAGTTATTACCGGTAACCTAGACTCCTGGCCTACCTACCTAAGCTCAAGATTAACACTCCTGCACTACCTTTGTTATCTGTGTTATAGAAAAAAAATAATTTTAAGTTTATTCTTGAGCTTGGTGGGCGAAAAGTAGCCTTCAACCGAATTTGAAAGCACTGGACGGTTTTCCTACCTCCAAACAGTAACACAATACTATAAGTAAGGTAGACAATAAGGAGAAATTACAAATTTGATTAAGCTCCACCTAATCCATATACTATGCTATGCCTTGCTTCCTAACTCACCCTACTTCACATAACACCACCCAATAATTCACTAAACACCAGTGCAAAAAACCCCAGCAAACTATTACAGACCTCGACCTAAAATACAGAATCTTTCAATTTTCACTTTTAGCAAATTCTGGTTATTTTAGGGCAATTGTGACGTTGCTTAGCAACAGAAAGTGATCTAATAATAATAGCTTTAATGATGTCATAAATCTATTTTGTGCAGTCAGGCGTTATGTATCGAGGCAACGTAAACGCGAGGAGAGGATTTCAAAATCAGTTTGTTCAAAAGTTTCAACTTTTTAGCACTTCTGAAAACAAATCATGCCGAAAAAGGGACTCAAGAGCTTAAAGGGCTGCAGTCCATCTTGCTGCAGAAGAAAAAGTAACACTTTGAGCGATGAAGTGAGTTTTTATTAATCATACGGTAAATCTGACTGCTGAAAAAGTCCAGTTTACCTTGGTTCAATTCCTAAAAAAGGGGCAGACGACGGCTGGAGCTATCATTAAAAGTATTTATCAATTACATTTCAGGAATTTGATGATCTTCAGACAGTTGCTTTGACAAATCGTGTGGTCGAGGTGAGTGAGACTTGATGTAAAATTAGTTATAGACCAGCTAAGCTAATGTTAGCTTATAAAATTTGGTCTTTAATCACAGTAACTTAAATTATGCTCATGTTATGCTACAAAGATGAAAAAAAATGACGTAGCACAGTGAGGCCTAACGTTAACGTTATTACCTCCATAAATTTTATTTTCATGAGTAAATAGGATAACAATGAAATTTTCGGTACTCAGTTTTCTTATTCTCCGACCCACAAGCTGAAGTCTTTATTCCTTGAGATTTATTGTTACTTATCTATTTTGAGGGCTTATGAGTAATTGTATGCCCGTAGCAAACAATTACCAACATCTAAAATATGGCGCTGATCAATATAACAGTAATATATTTGTATATCATTTTATTTTCACGTAATGATAATAGGCTGCTCAATGTGGTTATTGCTATTTTAAGATTTTTCTTGTTAGCTAAACTTCAGGCAAATGGTTGGTTCAATATTACTCAAATAATTTTTAGGAGACCGAGACAGAGGGACTGATAAGGCATCCTCATGTCAGTACAGGATCACTATCCGAAGGTAGTTTCTTTACTTTTTTGCAATAATCTAAAAAAACTAAGTTATCACAAGTTATGTTAACATACGTGTCCGGAAATTTCGCCGCATAGGAAAATTTGCAGCACAAAAGATCTCCGCAATGGCATTTTTGCTGTAAAACAAGTATTTGTGATAGCTAGGGCTGGGCATTTTCGAATACCTTGTGATTTCAGAATCGAATCGAATAATTTTTTCGAATCGAATCGAATCTCGAATACTTGAAAATATATAATTGTAAGCGACTTTATTATATTAATTGGTCCTCTCAACAAATGAATTACTGAAGACATAGAATAAATCACTCAGACAAATTACTGGGCGTTCACACAGAATAACAAACACGTTTTATCAACAACTCACTACAGAAAATAGTCATATGTTAGAATTTCGTTGAAAAAATATGACTCCTATAAAAAAAAAATTGGGGATTTCACCTCAACCATTAGCGGAAAGATAAAAACAAGATGGCGGCGATTCGAAATTTAGCTCTGAACCGATTCGAATAATTTACTATTCGATTCGATTCGAATATTCGATTCGAAATGCCCAGCCCTAGTGATAGCATGAAAAATCACCGCAAGAGCATTTGTGATAAAAACAGTTAGGTTCATATGGTTAGGTATGCTCTTAAATAACGAATCTTTTTCAAATAAAAAGGTACTTCAAAAACCCAATTGTTTTATCACAAATACTTGTTTTACAACGAAATGTAGATACGTATAATAGTGTGGTGAGAAGAGGCGTTATAAAAATGTATTCATGTTAGAGCGAAGCAAGACTCTTGAATCAATAATAATTAATCACGTGATCGGGTGAAAACAAGCTTTTCGGTTTTTTAAACATTTGCATTATTAACCTGAGAATATTACCAAATGGGAGTTTTTGGGTTCAAAAGTTTATGTGTTACACATATGATAAAAATAACTATTTATAATCGTGAAGCAGTAAAATAGGGAAATAAATCTATAAAAAAGATTGATACCGACAAAGACCCGCAAACGGGGAAAGTAGTGTAGGCAATCGCTTCTTCAATCAATCCTGTATAAAACATATCAACTTGAACAAATTTTCATAAATAATAGTTGTTTTTACCTTTATTCAGCCTCCCTTGTCAACATTTCCCAGCGGGCACATCCTGAGAGCCCAAAACAACAAAAACTATCTATTGGAAATCGAGCAAAGGCCTACCTTCCTGAAGAAGTCAATCTTTCAAGCGACGAAGAAACAGAAGATCTCAATCAGAAATCGGTTCATTTTGCAGTGTGTCATGACCCGGATGCCAAGGTATTTATTTTAAACTTACCGCTGATGGCGTATTTTTACTAAGGAGGGTGGGGTGACGATGAAACAAACACAGAATGCCATAGAGGTATCTTTTACGTATGATAAAATGCCGATTTCCACATTTTGCGTGTCGATGCTGCGATGCTGTAACAGCTAACGGGTCCGGAGGCCGGAACACGTGGATTTCAAAAGTCTTGCAGGTCAAAATACAGTTTTTTTTTTCAATTTTGAAAGGGGTGGTGGTTCCGAGTTCTGACCCCAAACTCCCTGCCCCCATGATTCTCACAGTACTGGAGCATCGTTGGCTATTTTTGTCGTAATTGAGAGGGGAGATTAACAAATATAAAATCCTATCATAGCGTTGGTTATGTTTAATTGCTCAGTCAAAATTCAAAAATAAATTGTCGTGATCAACATGTTTGATAATTTTTATAAATGTTATAAAGAGGAATTCAAATATAGAATTTTATAAGTATTACTAAAAGAAGGGTGGCGTGACCTTCAATCAAACATAAAATGCCATCTTTTACATAAGATAAAATGCAGATTTCTTTGAACGATGATGATTTCTTACTGCGATGATAGGTATTCTTACAGTACCGAAGCATCGTTGGCTATTTTTATCATAACTAAGAAGGGCGAACATTGAATATAAAATACAGTTTTGGTTATGTTTTATTGCTCTCAGTTAGATCAGTCAAAATGTACAAATAAATTGTCATGTCAAACATGTTTGATCAATCTTATAAATGTTATAGGGAGGAATTCAAATAATGAATTTTAAAAGTATTACTAAATTCATTTTTGAAAAAGGGTCCGCGTGTCTGCTTTTGTGTGACTGCTTATATAGAACCTTGTTCAGAATAAAGTTGTTAAAAATTTCAAGCTAATGGCGCGGCGAAGTGGCTCAACGGGCTAAGCGTTAGGAATACGCTCGCCACCGCACCTTTAATTACTCTGCATGGGTTCGCAGGTTCGAATCCCATGCAGAGATGCAGAGATGGTTATGTGCGAGAGGATTGCTGGACTCCTCGCCGTCGTTGGGTGGTTCACGTAACCGCTGGTTACGGCTTCCTCCACCACCAAGTTCATGCTTCCGAAAACAAACAATACAGTAAAACTAATCCCATACCCGACTTGGAAAGGTAACCGGACGAGAGGCCGTGGTTCGCCATATGGATAAACCGTCTTACCGGGATAAATATGTAAAATCCTATTCTATCCTAATACTAGAATCTAAAGATAGGTTAAGCTTTTGGGTTTTTCGGAGTTCGAAGTCAATATTTCAGAATATTAAAATTTTTAATGTTACATAAAAGAAGAAATGCGTTCATTTAAAGTATTAAGCATTAGAATACCCCGCATTCGCGAGATGGGAGTCAACCGGAGGCAATTATATGGAATCCGGAGTCGGATATACAGCTCTAATGAGCGCTAACGCGATATTATATTATACTTGTAGGACACTCGTGAACAATACAGAAGCACACCTGTAAAAGATAAGCAACATAAATCCCAGCAATACAACGAAGAACATTTCTTTCTGAGTTCCAGTGATTCGGAGAATATTGTGAAGGTAATTGATATGGATTGGGTTTGAGAAGGTCACGAACATTCATTCAGAATAACAAGAGAGCTGTGCTCAAATATATGGACACGTCACAAAATGTCGCTATTTTTTATTCTGGCACATAAAAAACGAATCTCTTGAAGTCCACAGAAATTTTTGAAATGATTAAAAGTAATAGCCTTCTGGCAAAAAAATCAATCTTTAACCACTGAAAATTTCAAAGCAATTGGTCCAGTATTCAAAGAGAAAAGCGATTTCATCATGACGAAAGTTAAGAATAATACTAATACCAAGAACAACAACATAATATTGAAACGATCGTTATGTACACTGACGTGTCCAAAAATAGACTCGCTTCTGAGTTATGTTTTATAAGCGACAACTGGAACGCTTCTCATTGGTCCTGGGTTCAATCCGCCTTCTCGCACTTTACTTATAATTTTTGGACACGTTTAGTGGACATAACGATCGTTTTGTTGTTATGTTGTTCTTGTTCATTGACACGTTTTGAAGAAATCGCTTTTCTCTTTGATTACTGGACCAATTGCTTTGAAATTTTCAGTGGTTAAAGATGGAATTTTTCTCCAGAAGGCTATTACTTTTATTTTTTGCTATCACCATATATATTAAGCTTCATTGGTAGCGAGCGTGAAAACCTTGTAACACTCCAAACACGTTGCTCATCTTCTACGCGTACAACCATGGATGAGAATGCCTTGTTACTTCTATCATTATCTGAATAAAATGGCGGGAACGGGGTATGAGCTCTGCAACTGAATATATACATTTTAAACATGCAAAGTTCTGGTGATTTTTCACGGTTTTTGCTACGATCTAACTTGGCAATTAGAAAATTTCAGAGCCCGGCTACGCTTATGTATGGAACAAAAACCCTTGCGGAAACGGGATTTGAGACCTACCATACCTACAACTGAATACATTTCAAACTTTTACAGATCTCATTAGCAGACTTGAAAACGTACGTTCACGAATACGTTCGCAAAATAGTGGAGTCAGCCTTAACAGCAGTGGCCAGGGAAGACTATATAGGAAGAAACGAAGATATACCGAGTCCCAGTGGTGTCAAAATAACGGAGAAAGAATGCGATGATGATACAGGTTCTACATCAGTGGTTCCCAACCTTTTATGGTTTGTGGCCCCCTTCCAGAGGCTATTAGCGTTTATGGTCTTCTGTTCATCATTCCAGTGGTATTTTGATTGGTAGATTCCAAATCCCATTATATTCAAACAATATCAAGCTCAGCAAAATGAGAGTACCCTGTGAACTAGGAAGAACGGAGAGTTTCCTTGTGAAGTGAAATGTAAAATCAGTTCTGAGTCTAGCAATATGACCGCCGTCCAACCGCTCTGTGGCCACATTGGGAGGGAGGGGGGAGGGGGGGATCACGGGGAAGGGTTTAGTTTTTCGATCTAAATTAGAAACACAGATTAACGGAGTATTGTTTGAGATCGGGTAACTTTGATAAACTTCGTTATAATCCACATCAAGCGTGCCTCAATATAAATCTTTAAGTGCAAGTGAGTGCTTGTGATATATCTTTGAGCCAGTGATTCCAAAACCGCGGGCCAATTAGGGCCCGTGTAACGATTTAATATGGCCCGCCAAATTTGAGTGAAATAGTTTAACCTTTAAATTTTTTTCTTTAGCGTTCAAGATACCGTCAATAGTTACTTCATCATCACAGTTTCAGCACGTGTATATTCGTAACAATTCTTCAAGTTTACCGGTATCCTAATTATACCTACCGATATCGGTCCATTGCAGGCGCTCCCCACTCTTGGGCCGCGAATATCCTTCCTCTTCTAATTTTGGCCCCCGGTCAATCAACTTTTGGAACCACTTCTGTTCAACTTATGTGCCCAGTTATTTCAAATTCTAGTTACTGAAAGGTGACTGATGTCGCTAGAGGGCTAATACCTTTTAGCCAAGACAAAGCTAGCTTTCGAGCTTACCATACTGCCGTGTTTCCCCGAATATAAGACCTAGCCTAAAAATAAAACCTAGCCTGACTTTTAAAAACGATTTTAATATAAGCCCTTCACCTAAAATAATGTAGAGTCGATAGCGCGACTTTTTTTTTTTTTTGAAGAAAAACGTGTTATTTATTAGTAAATGAGTATCGGTTTTCATATTTTGTATATATATTTGAAAATCTCGTAATTCTCTACTTTGGTAATTTGTTTTTGATAAATGAAAATAAAAGACATCCCCTGAAAATAGCCCAAGTGTTATTTTTCGAAATAAAAGTGAAATAAGGGTACTTCCGTACGGTGTGTACCAGGTTAGGGTTAGGCCATAATTGTATTCCAATTTTAGTTCTATTACGAGTTCGGGGATTGTCTGTGTTAGCCAAGTGAATATATCCCCTGTCCCTTGGTTTCAGTCCCTTTACACAACTTGATGTAAAGTATGCGAACAAAATGAGTTACTTCCATATTGGTACACACACTCCTGAAGCGCCTAAATAAGACCCTGTCACGATGTGCGACCTTTTCATATATTTAAGCATCGCTCTCTTGTTTCGCAGATGACGGGATAGACGTAAGCAGCTCAGACGAAACCGATTTGATCAGCAGCATGGTGGACGATATGCTTGCTGACATCACCAAAGTTATGACGTCAAAGCAACAAAATCCGGAAACTCCAACGGATGGCAGCGTTAGTGACGTAAGCACTGTGACATCAGAATCGGTTAGACAGGTAATTAATCGATTATTAAGAACAAAGCTGGTCTAGTCGCTCATATGTTACTCAAAAATTTGTAATTACCAAGAGTTAGAACAGTGGTTACCAAACATCACATGCTATCCAGGCCGGATAGCGACTGTCAAAACAGCGAGTGTCATAATGGCGACGTAATCAAGTGAGCGACTGTTATAATGGCGACCGCAATAAAACAGCGACTGTTATGATAGCGACTTAACTCGTTTAAGGGTTAGTCCAAATAAAATGTTGGGGGGGGGGGGGGGGGGGGGGGGGTCGCTCTATTGACAGTCGCTATTTGGAATTCGAGCCACCTCACATTACATAAAACCCTGTTTAGGTTTTTTTAGGCATCCTTAGCTAGTGCTGGGGTTGACGTTGGACAACGTCACACAATATCCATGGTACGGTGGGTGGCGCATTGTGCTAGACCAGTGTTTCCCAACCCGAGTCCGTGGTGCGTTTGAATGAGTCGAGCGCAAGGAGCCATAAATTCACTGCGGGTCGCAAACGTTTTTGCGAATCTTAATTATCAGCCAAGTTACGATTTAAGTTAGAAATTACATAAAGGCAAGTTTAATCGCATAACAGTGATCGAGTCAATAATTACTGGTTAGGGCTAGGCATTTATTCCAACATTAAACTATTAGAATAGCAATTTACTAATAGAAAATTTGGTAACCCGTGACGCGACAGGTCGCTTCGATAGATACCTAAGTGGTGTTTCTCGCGAGTTTGAACAACGAAGAATAAATTTTTTCCTGGCAGGTGTCAATGATGGCAACTCAGTTTTTTTCAATTGAAAAGCAGCAATACAAAATACTAAAAATAAAACAGAGAACACCATAAGTTTTGTTTTATGATGGTCACGTCACGAGCGGTTAAAAACACTTTTTAGACATTGCAAATCGCAAAATTTTGGGTGCTACCGTAGAATACGTACCAGGGCATTTCCCTTAGGATACTTTGCCTTACTGCCTCCACATTGGTCGAATTCACAAGATTACGAATCGAAACAAAATATAGTAAATTAATAAAGCAACCCATTTCAAAAATGCGCGTATCGGTTATGGATTGAATATTTTATACAACAGAAAAAAATCATTGAAAAGTCGGCTCTTTCAACGAGTGACGTTTACGCGACGATTACATCAAAAGTCGTTCCGCGAGAAATTCAAGGCGATGAATATGTATTTTCGATTTACTAATATATATACTTTATATATATTTTTAAGTACTAAATCAAGTTGTACTTTCTGGAAATTTATAGCAGATAATAGGATTTTTAACGAACACGTAATTGCGGCAAAGTTGCAATTTTGAAACCTTTTAAAATTTTGTTGTGTTTGGTTTTATTGCTTCTTCACACAGAGTCTGGTTGCAATAAACGCACCTTGAGTCCGCAAAGGTTTTCGCCGGTGAGAAATTAGTCTGCGACCAAAAAGGTTGGGAAACGCTGTGCTAGACGTTAGGAATACTATTGTAATCGCTTCTCTGATTATCTTGTGCGGGTTCGAATCCCACGGGAAATAATTGTGTGCGAGAGGATTGCTGGACTACTCGCCGTCGTTAGGTGGTTCACGTAATCGCTGATCGGATACTGCTTCCTCCACCGTAAAAAACATGCATAGGAAACAAATACCTGGCCATCTAATACCATACCCAACATGGACTTGTAACAACAGGCCACGGTACACAATACGATTGAGCCATCTTTTCGACTTTTCTCACTCCCGTGATAAAATGATATCCTATTTTTTATCCTATCTTTGTGACCCCTGTTTCTAATTAGTCGTCTAATCACCCATTTTCTGATTCAGATAGAGAGCTTATCATCTCTTGAATGGGACGGGTACGAGCCTCTGCTCAGAGAAGAGCCTTCGTTCAGTGATGTCGCAACTCGTATTCCAGCAACTGTTGTTTTTGTTATGACAAATAAATTTTAAACAAAAATTTGTATGTGGTCTGGCAGGGCTTGGCTGTAAAGCAGAGCAAATGCACAATCGACCGACAATATTTCGGATATGACTCCGGATTGTAAAAATTTTTGACTCCGACTCCGGTTTGAAGGACCAGCTCCGAACTCGAAAAAAAATCGGATTTTGATGACAAAGACTTCTGCGTTTTTTTTTCTTATTTAATCACTTAAACGCTTGGTAAAATTAATGCTTTTTCAGTTTTAGTAGAAAGTTTGGATCTATTTTATCACCATTGAAAGTCTGCAAATCCGTTACCAGAAAATTCAGATTTTCTACTCCGAAGAGTTTGATTGATTCCAGTGATGCTAGACTTCGCATTCAGAGCCTTCGATTATCACCATGGAAAATCTGAAATCCCGACCCTGGCCCCAAATAATTCCAAATTTACATTCTGACCAAACAGATTTGAAAATACGATTCCTTTTTCATTATTTACAAAAACATACATTTAATTACGCAAGACCTGTTTTTATCGCCATTATTGAAAATCTGAAAGTCCTGTCTATTTTTGAATAATTAAAATTTGCACTTGAGATTCTGACTTTGAAAATACGGCTCTGACCCAAAAATATGCCAAATTTTTTTTCAATATCTTCGGGGTGATGTAGCGTTGGCCATAAGCCTGCAGATTTGCACATTTGGTTGTCATCACCATACAGTCGCATGATGGCGCAGAAGGAGCGCGAAATACTACAGAACAGTGAATAACATTCAAGACATTTGCAAACTGTGTGCATCTCAATGAAACATTCAACGAAAAGTTGATCTTATTTTGATGAAATTCGATGTGACATGAGTCATGTCACATGACCGCATCGTACTCCGAGATATAGAAAATACGATTCCGCCTCCATATATATATATATTTGCAGAAACATGCCACGGACCTTCGCTCACCACCATCAGAAATTCCTGCCCATCACTCCGAAGAATAGAAAATTTGCACTCACAGTCTCAGAAACGGCACAATCGGTTGTCAGCACCATACTGTCGCAGGGTGGCGCGGAAGAAGCGCAAAAAATTACAGTTCAGGCAATTCAATATATTTTGCACACTATGTGCTTCTAAATGAAACAACTAACAAAAAGTTGAAATTTTTCCGATGAAATTTGACGTACATGGCCGTTTCGTAGTCCGAGATTTTAAATATGCTATTCAAAAACTCGGAGAAATTCAAAGACCACATTTGCAACTATGAGAAGACATTCAATTTTAAATGTAGGCTCACCGTTCGTCCTGGTGCAGCCGGTACTGTATAAAAAAAAATTATTTAACATTATTACAATTTTTTAACGGCAGCATTCAATTTACTCCTGGCTCGGAATCGAATCAAGGTTTGTCCGATCGGCACTGTCGCGTTTTTTTTGTGTGCCAGATCCATGGTAAGCCTAGCCAAATACATTGCTTTACAATGCCTGAAAACTATATCAAAACCATTGCAATTAGACGATAAAACTATATTGATGTTACATGCGTTTCAAAGGCAGCGACACTAAAATTATTGTTGTAAACTGCTTGTCTGAAGAAGTCGGACGAAACGTTACAGAAATACATTTGTGTTAGTGTGCATCTGGGCTCTTTAAAGTTTAAGTGGACTAAAATTAACAACTTTTTTCATTTAATCTCTGCCTGTAAGTTAGTGGCATTTACATGAGCCTGAAAAGATTGAAGTTTACATCTTATAGGTGCCAGACCATGTCAATCAGCAGTCAGCAACCATTTGTCACTCGCGGGCCAAAATTAAAGGTTGCAAGTCATTGACGGACCGCATATATTTTTAGAAAGTTAAAAACCGAACGGATGGCCGATGAATCACATTTTTTTTCACACAGGTCAAAAGTTAAATTTTAAGCAGAGCGCGAAGATTGACCATTTGATTTTTTCTGCTCTATTAAACCATTTACACTTAGCATCAACTTTTCTGCGTTTTGTTGCCATTTGTCTAAATTATAATTAAATCCTCATTAATCAAGTAACTGTGAATTATATACTTGTTAGGTTATAATATAATTTAGTCGACACGTGTCCCACAATAAGTTCTGTTACGTGAAGAATATAATCGTCAAAATTTCTGTTTTCTTACTATACTTTAGCGAAGCGTCGCGGGCCGGATCCGGCCGCGGGCCGTAGGTTGCCGACCCCTGATCTAAATGCAAGAATGGTACAAACTGCTTTACTTTAATTTGTTTAATTCGATTCTAAATCAATAGAATCAAAGTTGGACGGGAGACGGAATCATGAATGTTAAAATACAACCGAAATGACTTCACGAATATTCTACACCAAGCTATATTTATATATAGTTATATGGATACATGCCTGCAGTTAAATAATATGGTCGAAGGAAAACATGTAACAGTGTGGCTCGTTTGATTGTTTTAAAGTTGTCTATCCATTTTTATCCAATCTATAATTTAGATTCAAAATCAAGTAAACAGCCAAAAAATGCAAAACTGAAGTGATGTACTGTACTAACAGATATTGTAACTATTGATAAAGTCTCAACATCAAATCTGATGTCATGTAGTGACATTGCCAATACACGTACCGTTGGTTCATCAATTAATATGAAAATGTAATTCCAAGAATTGAGCCTTGTAGACATCGAAAATAAGAAAGTAATGGACACGAAAGCGAAAACAAGGTAGTTATCACTACCGGTAACGCAGCCCTCACGAACCTGCCTGACCATCAGAATGCAACCAACGCGAAAGCGCAACCGCCTCATGAAGCGCATTTTTAATTTTTAGGGACGTCATCGTGCACAAAAAAATGATCTCATTAAGCCCACAGAAATGTTTGAAATAGATAAAAGTAACAGCCTTTTAGCGAAAATATTTAACCACTGAAAGTTTCAAAGCAATTGGTCCACGATAGGAACAAAAATATCAATAAGAACGACAGCATAATAACAAAAAAATATTTCGTGTCCAATAACTGGGTTACTTTGGCAGCGAGCTGTGGAATGTATTATTGACCCTCTTTATGTGTAAATAGCTTTTGTACCAGTTTGCCAAATTAGGCAGAGAAAGGCCAGCATTGAGTTCACATTCCCCATATCATAAACTGTTGTTTTATGGCGTATATGCCCCTATTTAGAGGTTAAAAAGGATTCTGGCACATCTCAGCATACCTGAAATATTATTAAAAAGTTGTGACAAGCCCTTTTGGCGCCTACATGCTTCCAACAAAATAGTATGTACTTCAAAGCACTAGAAATCTTGGCGCTGAAATGCCGAGGTGGTAAAATACCAAATGAGTCGCAACAGTCAGCAGAATGCCTCATTCATAACTATTCAATACGATTATATAGCTTACTTGCGATTCCAAATAACCCGTGAAGACCCCGACATGCCCAATTGAAAAAACAAACATACTAAAGCCCAGCAAACCCGGTACCGGCGTCGTGATCCTAACCGCATCAAATAGCTCCATAAAAAAACAATATTCCGGTCACGCACGGCTTGGATCAGCCGTGGTTCGCCTTGATCGGCGCCACACTTCTCCTGCCCCGTGGAGTGCCTTCGTGGTTTGCAAATGAGGCAAATTAACTTGCAAGTCAATCAACACTATTTTCAAATGTTTACAAAGTTGTCTAATTTCAACACTATTACGAAACAAACCTTTAAAATAAATATTATTGTGACGAAATAACTTCACTTTTAATTCAATAATGATGCAACAAATATTATTTTTCATGCGCGGACTACGTTACACATGCTATTTTGGCAGTCAGGTAGCTTTTGTGTTGTGACAGAAACGTGAAAGGCGGCGTAAAACCGGTTTAATAAAATGCAGGGAGCGGTCGTAGCGTTGAGAATGTTGATTGAGATGTTAGTAGTGAGCGGTTAACGAGCTAACCCAAAGACTAAAAATACTTATTAGTCTATCACGTTGGTACATTGTTGAAATTGTTTGAATGATGTCCGCCATTTTGTAAGAACCTAGGATAGCGTATGTGTATAATAATTGAATATACAGAATAGTGAGCTATCGTGTTCAAAATACGCAAGTCGGAATTACCATTTTTTTCGCAGCCCCTACGCATTTCAGTGGTCGTTCATTAACTTTGCCCAAAGAGTTTTCTTCACTTCTAAGCAAGTACGCGGATCCTTTCATAAAAAAATCGTAGTGATGATTGATGAACTGAATATTGCCGACAAAAATGGTCTTTTGTAGACTGGTATTCCATAACACGGAATAGTAGCTAAATACAGGTACACTTTACCTGCTTAAAATTTAATCCCATGCTCTGGAACGCTGACGATGATTGGCTAATGAGATAAAAGAAATCTCTCTGGGAAATCATCGATATATGAATTCATTCCATATAATTTTTCTAGCACATAGACTGAGTTAGGACATACAACTTTTGGAACGAATTTGTGAATGAACACTATACTATGTACATCTGTAGGTTGTTTTTTGTGCTTGCTCGATTATTTAACTCCACGCACTTCTGAAAATTGCAACCATAAAAAAATAAACTCATCTTAAATTATCGGCCACAGGAGCAATTTACTGTCTGGGTTTTATTTCGTCTATTACGTTTAATGTGATTTTACTTTTTGAGGTCAGACAGTCGGTGATACAAGAGAAACCCCAAATCATAATTTACGCGAATTGTTACGTGAAACTGCTTGAAGCTGTATGATTATTGTGCGAAATGTGATACATAGAATATTCCAGCGTGCTGTTTTTATATGACGACAAAGTAAATTCAAAGTAGCTTATGTCACATTTCCAGAAATTGACTTGTTTGATCTTCGTTCTGATCATCTTTTAGTTTTGTTTTTAAGCTGTGCCTGCTTTAGTTTTGATTTGAGGAAAGCGCCTTTTATGTCCAATTCTGTTCAGCTGTGAGAACCAAACTACTACGTAAATGGGATTTTCTCAAAACCTCAAAATGTGACATAAACTGCGGCGTTATGACTTATTCACGCTTCCACTCTGATAACGTGAATATT